TAAACAACTCTTCGAAGTAATCCTTATTTGCCACTAGCTTCTACATCTCCTCCCCTTTATCTCTCTTTTTTTTTTTTGGTACTGGGGATTGAACTCAGGTCCTTGCGCTTGCAAGGCAGGCCACCTAACCACTGAGCTAAATCGCCGGCCCTCTTTTTTATATCTTTAAAATTTCCTGCTACCATCCAGAGATCTATTTTCTGTTTGATTCCTTCATAAATGTATTGTTTGTCTAAAAAGTAAAAAGCATCCTGCTTTGTCAATTTTTTGGACTTCGCTCTCTTGTGAAGATCTCTAAGTAAAATTAATCAAACTTGTATGTTTTTCTCTTGCTAATCTACTTCTACATTAATTTGATTCCCAGATCCAGCCAAAGAGCCCACATAAGAATTAACAGGGGTTGAAAAAAAAAAAAAGAAAAGAAAAAAGAATTAACAGAGGTTGGAAGTGTAGTTCAGAGGTAAACCATCTGCCTCCCTTGCACAAGGCTCTCGGTTCAATTCCCCAACACCAAAACAAAACAAAACCAACAGGAGGTAGAGAGAATCTATCTTCTACATACCGCCACTGGTTTTTCTCATTCTCTGGCTTTCAGATGGCAAATCATGGGGCTTCTGGACCTCCATGATCCACATAAGCTGATCCCCATAATAAATACCCTCTTATGCATATATTGTCATAAATACCCCATTGCTTCTGTTTCTCTGGAGAACCCAGACTGATAAGATTTGGTAGACAATTGTTCTAGAGGAACAGAATTTTAAGGGTACATTTTCTAATTGGTTTGGAAGTTTCTGATATTGGATCTGTAATCTAGTTAGAATTAAAGACATTAAAGACACTATTTCCAATAGTAAAGAGAGCACTAACATTCACACATTTGTGAAAAGTCATAGAAATGCATAAAATCTGTGCATTGGATGTTCCTAATCAATCACTTGTAAGGAGCAAGTGACTATAAAATGCATTCAAACATTTGTGGAAAACTGAAAAATAGAACAGTGTTTCTAGATTGCTCCTTTTATGACTTGACAAAGTGTTAAAAAGATGAGCTCAAGGATTTCATTCCCAGCTGAAGCAAGAGATAAATGACCTAAGAGTTTTTGGGTGTTTCCTGAAATGCAGCCTTACTTCCTGTAGCCATGGGATGGAAATGCCCAGCAGTCATCTTGTGATTGCCTGTGTTGTGGTCTGAGTATACTCCAGCCTCGCAGGGTGTCTGCTATTAGAGTGAGGACATGGGATGGCAAAGAATGGCACCCTGTAAATTGGAATCGTGACATTTGGGAAGACACCAATGAAACTGAGGAACTTAGAGCACCCAAATTTCATGAGACTTCTTTGGGATTAACCGTACATTCCCTGGAGAAATGGTAATGTCCTCCCTTGAAGCAGTCAGTACTTACTTCATCACCACTCCTAGACCACCAGCAGACGAGAGTCCCTGCAGGTCCCTGAAGGTAGGTAGGGTACCAACTGTGGCCCATGGTCGAGGGGTACATAGCATTGAAGAAAACCATTAGAATATTTTAAATTTATACCAGCAGAAATCCATGGAGCATGTGGGGGAATGGCCCTTATGGGTGTGTGGGACAAGCTGGGCTTGCTAGTACATGTCTGTAATCCCAGCATTCTGGGACATTGAGACAGGAGGCTTGCAAGTTGGAGCCCAGCCTGGGTAATTTAGTGACTGGGCTAGACCCTATCTCAAAATTAAAAACAAAAAGGTCTGGGAATATAGCTCAGCACCAGGGCCCCGAGTTCACCCTACCCACACAAAGCATGAGACAATGGTGTCAGGAACATAAAAGTGGATCCAGCCAAATTCACTGACACAAGCCCACTAATCAGAGACTCTGCATGTAACGTCCCTAGGGAGTTAGAAGGGCTCAACTGCTTGTTTGGTTGACTGAAACATGGAAGAAAAGATGGCCTACCATGGATGGAATGGAAGTGCTCCCATCTCCCTTGGTTTGATATAAAAGAGGGGATTGAAAGATTTAGGAAAATTGGAATGTTACAGTGGATTTGTTATGTAAGATTTGCCCATCTTCACCGGAAGGGTTTAAAAGAGCTGCTTTTTAACCGATACTTTGAGAAATAAATTTTTTTGGGGGGTTTTTGAGACAGGGTCTCACTATGGAGTTAAGACTGACCTGGAAATTGCTATATAGTTCAGGCTGGTCTCGAACTCACAGGCATCCTCCTGCCTCAGCCTCCCGAGTGCTGGGATTACAGGCGTGTGCCACCACGCCTGGCCCAAGAAATAAATTTCTAAGTGGAGCCCTTACATCCTGAAAGAGCCCTGTGATCACTCTTCTCTTCAGGCTCAGATCTCATAGTCTGAACTACAGCCACTCAATTGGAAAACCTAAATGCAATGGGAGTAATTGGACAGCAGGGCGGCAGGGACCAAGCGGTGCCACTAAATCACCAAAGACTGCAGTTGCAAGTGGGTATAGTCACTGCCATGGGCAGCAGAGTCAAAGCAGCAATCAGAATTGTCTGTCACCTCCGCCTAGCAAGAACGGCTCTTATCAAAAAGGTAAAAGACCCTAGGTGCTGGTGAGGACATGGAGAGAAGAAGCCTTCGCATACTGTTGGTGGGAATGTAAATTAGTGTCATTATGGAAAATCATGAAAGAAAAAAATTAAAAACAGAACTACAGCATGATCCAGCAGTCTCACCCCTGGGTGTATATCCAAAGGAGATGAAATCAGTACTTTGAAGAGACATGTGCAGCCCTGTGTGCACAGTGCCTATAGCACCAGCCACTCAGGACACGGTGTGGGGTAGCATCACTGGAGTCGAGAAGGACAGGGCAGCCTGCGCCACAAAATAAAACAGAACAGAAACCAGCACAATATAACCAAAAAACCTAGGTTATACAGTGTATACATGTGTCAAAACATCACGTTATCCCATTAATATGTACAGTAATTATGTTTGCATGGATTGGTTAAAAAAATCAAATGAATTTAAAAATTAGTCTGACTCCTGCAGACCTATTCGGTCTAGTGGTTGTAACTCAATCTTGGAGGCAACTTCCTCATCTGGGTGTGTTACTCTGGCCCATTCACCAAGTGACTGGAGAAGCTTCTAGCTTGCGTGGGGCTCAAAACAACAAAGGGCTCTGCCACAGGCTCGCCTTGGCGCTTTCCCCCTGTTGGGAGGCACTGGAGGGACCCTAGATATTCTGGGGATATGTTGAGGGAGTTGAATTTAGGATACCTTTAGTTAGGATATAGAAGAGTATATTTATGTAGTATACAATCCTTTTTTATGTTTAGTTATGTTACTACTGGAATGCTTCCGGGACCTCTGCAACGGTTACCTATTAATGAATGCCAGCCAGTGCCCAGTATTTAGGGTTTGCTGTTGCACAAAGGATCTGGAAATTCCTTGAAAATGTGCACCTTATACATAAAGGAAATTTGAGGAGTGTTGCCCAAGTTGGACAACTCTCTTAAAGTTTTATTTGATGTTACTAAAACATTAATTGAAGAGTCAACATAATTAAAAACAAAACAAAACAACTAGCAGTAGGAAAAAATATTGAACATCCAGTTTACACACTAGACTATTTTCATTCTCTCTATAAAAAATATTATGAAACCACTGTCATCTGAAAAATGATCAAAGATCATCACATTTTGGAAAGTGAGAAGATCGAACTACAGAGACATTCATTCACTTAGATATTTGTTTATTCCACAAATATTTATTAGTTGCCTACTACATTTTGAAGAAGGTTGCTAAAGGCTGGGAATAGAACAGTGACCAGGCCAAAGATTCTCTGACATCAAAGTATTCATAATGTAAGGTGGAGCAGTCCCTAAAAAGTAGTCTGACCAATAATTATTTATTTATCATCAGGATAATTAAGATGAAAGTGAAGTGTAAGATAATTTCAGAGATAGCTGAAGTCTGAGTTTGGGGAAAGTATCCTTAAAAAAAAAAAGTCAGGCCGGGCATGGTGGTGCACGCCTGTAATCCCAGCACTCCAGAGGCTGAGGCAGGAGGATCCCTGTGAGTTTGAGACCAGCCTGGGCTACATAGTGAGTTCCAGG